CTTTTGCTAGTTTATGGAAGGAGTGTCTAATCTAAAGGCAACAAATGACTGATTTCTCGCTGTTAGGAAAATGTTATGATGAGGATTAGACCTATAAATGAGGGTGAGAACCATTTCCCCTTTTCATTTACAACTGTGAGCCAGTTTATCCTCAGTTGGGTATCTTTATTTTGCCTCATGTAGGGGAAAGATACATGAATGAGACCAGATGACTTCATTTTATGGGGGTTATGAACAACCACCCTAGTTGGCCTGGGGAGGTCACTGAAGGTGCAGGTTCTCAGGCATGGGGAAGACCTTGGAGATCATCACTAGCTCCCTTCCTTGCCCACAAGGATATGTGATGTTGGAAAAATTATTCAAATCCTAGAGAATCAGTTTCTTCATCTTTATATATGGGCTACTAATAGAACCTATCTGATAGGATTTTATGACTAATAAGTGATTTAATATGTATCAAAATGCTTAGCACAGTGCCCAGCACATAATGAGGAAACTTAATAGAATTGTTAGTTATTATTAAGTCTTTGGACAGTAGAATTAATTCCATTGTTGGGCTCAGTGTTGAATGTAAGGGATACAAAAACAGTTAAGTCATGGTTCTTTATAGGCTTCCTGGAGGACATGATGTGGCCTGATACACATCTCGAAAGAAGAGGAGGAAATAGCTAGATAGAGGACCTTGTGTAAGTCTGTATGTGGCAGAAGGAGGAAGGCTGGGGGAAGTGGTTGAAGAGGAGGGCCAATGTTTTCTAGGAAGATAGAGCCCTGTGAACCAAGATGTCATTCTGGGGAAACTGGAAGTAATTAATTTAATATGGCTAAAGCTACTTTGTGAGGTGGGGAGTGGTAAGAGTGTGGTGATGAATAAGATCCTGCAGGGGATGTGTAGAACAAGAAATGCAGTGAACCAAGACAAAGACTTGGATAATCCTAACATGGTGGGGGTAGATTAGGAAGCAAAGCCTCAAAAGGAAACAAATTTTCTGCTTTCCTTCCTTCCCAACCACCCAAGGAGCAGCCGGTCCTGGCTGGGAATCTTTTCTTATCTTTTCAGATAGGAAAAGGCAGCACTGGGGGTGGGAGTGGAGATGAAGCCTGCTAGGCCAAGTAAATCTCCCTCATTAATAGCTGAAAGAGGAGAGGCAGGAGAGAGTCAGACAAAAAAAGCAATGGCAACACTGTAGGGTTTAGTGGATTAAAGCCCGTAGAGTGACGGAGAGTAGGAAAAAGGGGTTTGCAGAAGGGTTTCCATGAGTTATGACCGGAATCCATCTTGATGTTGAGAGATAAAAATTTGAAATTTCTCTTAACATTATTTTGGAATAATGAGACTAAGAGAGTGTCAGAAATTAGTGTCACACAAATGTACTATTACTACTGTACTAAACTAATAGTAGTAAAAGTATTGATGGCAACAAGTACTGTTCAATTCTATGGGTAGGTGCTATTGTCCTTCCCATTTTATAGATAAGAAAACCGAGGCACACAATATGCCCAGGGTCACAGAACTAGTACCAAATGAATTCAGGAATTGAACTCAGGCATTTGAATTCACAGAAACCAGTGGAATCAAGCTTCTAATGAAAGGACAGCATTGGTAGAGGATAAAATTCAAAGTCAAATTCTTTTTTACCAACTAATATTTTATTTCGTCTATAAGAAAGTGATTATACTTAATGCAGATATATTATTATCCGGTTCTTTTAAGTTGGGGAATTGTTATAAGGTAGTTAAAGAGCAGTGTCATTGGACTGGGGGATAGGCAGAGCTTTTCCTCCATAGAATAAAATATGCTTCTCCCGCTCCCATGCACGCAGTACCTTGGCACACTGTGGATCCTGCATAAGTGCTGGCTGAATTAATATGCACTGTAATAAATTCCCTCACTTTGCAAGGTGCTAGGTAGCTGACTGCTCAAGCATGACTACTCTGGTAAAAAAAAAAAAAAAGCTTGCATTTATTTATTTATTTACTTTTATTTATTTGAGAGAGAGCGAGTGTACGCGGGTGCATGCATTCGAGGGGGAGGAAGGGGTAGATGGAGAGGGAGAACCAGACTCCCTGCTGAGCAGGGAGCCCAATGAGGGGCTCTATCCCAGGACCCTGGGACCATGACCTGAGCTGAAGGCAGTCACCCAACTGACTGAGCTACCCAGGTGTCCCAAGATGCCTGCATTTATAACCCAGAGTACTTTTTTAAAAGTATTTTAAAAAGATTTTATTTATTTATTTGACAGAACGCTAGAGAGCACAAGTAGGCAGAGCGGCAGGCAGAGGGAGAGGGAGAAGCAGGCTCTCTGCTGAGCAGTGAGCTCAACGTGGGGCTCAGTCCCAGGACCCTGAGATCATGACCTCAGCCGAAGGCAGATGCTTAATGACTGAGCCACCCAGGTGCCCCTGTAACCCAGAGTGCCTTAAGGCACTGAGTTAGTCTGGTTCATTGTCTCCTAATAGAAATGAGGTCCGGAGTTCACTCAATTTCGGTATTGCCGAAATACACATAGATGTTGCTATTGCTTTGGATTCTTCCTTTTCCTGTTGTTCTTCCTCCCTTCTTCTGGTCTGTTGGATCTCTGTCCTGGATCAGAAGTTGGGGAGTGGGAGGGCTCCCTAAAACTAAACTTTCATCTAAGTTTACTTTTTTTTTTTTTTTTAAGATTTTTTATTTATTTATTCATGAGAGACAGAGAGAGAGAGAGGCAGAGGGAGAAGCAGGCTCCCAAGGAGCAGAGAGCCCGATGCGGGACTCGATCCCAGGACCCTGGGATCATGACCTGAGCCGAAGGCAGACGCTCAACCATCTGAGCCACCCAGGCGCCCTCATCTAAGTTTAAACCTCCACACTCTTCTGCCCTTCTTGTCTGGATGGATTTCCAAGGGGATTGGTTATCAGGCTTTTAAGGAATAAAAGCCCCTTTGAGTTTACGCCTCTTAGGTGCATCTGGAACACAGTGAGGGGAAAGGTACATTTGTATTTTTGGGTTTTTGTGTAGGATCACCTGTCTCACATGGTAATTTCCTTTAGACTAGACAAGTGCTGGGCCGTGGTTTGGGAAACATGGGCAAGGTTTTGCTGCATATTTTTTAGATAAATTTAAGAATCAAAATATATAAAGCAATTAAGTACTATAAATTCAAACTAGACATTTCATTTCTCCTTATATACATATTCCTTCACAGGATTAATTAAAAGCTATGAGATTAATGTGCATTGTGATTGAGTTTTAATAGCTACTTTGGGAAAATAATCCAAAATTACTGTTCTAGTACTTGTAAGTTGTTAAGGTCTATACAATGCATTTATACTCTCAGTCTTGTTCACCAAATTCTTCAGCACATGATACACAATATAGGAAAGTCACGTCCCTGGGCAAAGTTTACTCATCATTTCAACTCCACTCAACATTTTATTGATGGCTCACTCTGCCTGGCAAGGTGGTAGGACCACAGAATATAAAGAAAGAGGTCAGGGATCCTGCTCTCAAGTCTCTCAGTCGAACTGTCAGGAGCCTGGACGCCGTGAAACACACCAAAAGCAACATGTCCAGAGAGGCCTTACTTCAATGGTGCACATTCCTTCTTCCAACTCTAAAATGATATTTCTACCCAAATGTCTTAAATCAGTGATAGTTATTCGAAATCACACAACGTCAGCTAATAAACTATAATAAGGTTTCGACCAGTTCGACTTGATTTAAAACTATTACTGCCAGTTCTTTGCTTTGCCGATCCTTCAACTTCAGCTTTAACACAACTCGCCTGGAAGAGGCTGTGCTAGCATTCTGGAAGTTTATAATTAAGTTCAGTGTGGGGGGGGGAGGGGGGACGACCATTAATTACAGAGCTCCGCTTGTGAGCGCCTGCCAGGGTTTCAAGGGGCAGAAGCCGAGAGGCGAATAAAGCTTTCCTCACTTCTCAACCGAAGTCGCAGGGAGTTCCCGGCGCGACCGGGGAGCGAGGGGTGCCCCTGGACGGTGAGCGGCTTGGGATGCTCGGCCACCCCTTCATCCACCGCTCGCCCTCTGGAGCTGGGTCTGAGGCCCTCGTCCGACAGCGCGGCCGCTGCCGGGGACTCTGAGGGACCGCGGCTTCGGCGCAGGCACCTCGCTCCGGGACAGGAGGCGACGCCGCGCACGGAAGTGCGCGCAGCTCTCCCCAGGCGCAGGACGACTCTCCCCCTTCACTTCCTCCTGCGCGGCGGCGCGGCCTCCCGGCGGCCCCTCCCCCGTCGCCGCCTCCTCCCGCCGCCCGCCGCCGCTCTCAGACGGGGGTGCGGCGCTCACCCGCGCAGTCGCCAGCCCGAGCCCGGGCGCCGAGCGGCAGAGCTGGAGGGAGGCGAGGGGCCGCCGGCGCTGCCGTCCCCGCCCCGCGCGCCCTGCGCCCCCCTTCCCGGGCGGCCGCTCGGCAGCTCAGCCCTCCTGCCTCCTCCGGCGCTGTCCGGGACTCGCCGCGAAGCGAGTGACGGCCGGTTTCGGCGTGCGAAGGCGGCGGCGGCGGGCCGCGGACGCCGTGCGCTCCGGGAGGGGTGGCCGCGACTCCGGCCTCGGCGCGCCGCGCGCACTTCGGCGATGTCTTCGCCGCCGCGCCGGCCGCTGCGCCTTCGCCCTTGCCGCCTCCTGTTCCTTCTCCCCGGATTCCTGCTGCCGCTTTGCGGCGCCTTCAACCTCGACGTGGACAGTCCTGCCGAATACTCAGGCCCCGAAGGAAGCTACTTCGGCTTCGCGGTGGATTTCTTCGTGCCCAGCGCGTCCTCGTAAGTGGCCGCACTTGGAAGGGGAATCAGCCCCCTCCCCCACCGCGCGCACCCACCCTCCGTTTCCCGAGGGGGAGTCTCCGCGAGGGAGCCCGGCGTTTGTCTGTCTGTGTCCCCCACCCCCACTGGGGGGTTTCGGTTCGGGGTGGATGAGACGTCTGGGGAAGTGAGCCCCCGCGGCCCCCACCTCCTCCCCTCAGTTCCCCCCTCTCCTCTCCTCGAGAGAAACGGCTTCGAGGCAGACCTGTGCTTACAATTCGGGGGAAGTGGGAAAGCAACAAAGGCTGGCCCCGCCGGACTCCGCGCCGCCTCCGCCGCGGTCCCGCACTTGGACCGTCTCATTTCCGAACGTCTTTTTCTCGGGTACCAGGTCGCCTTCCCCGTAGCCTGTCTGCTTGCCAGACTTAGACACCAGTCCCTTTCGCTCTCCCTGCGCGAGCCCTCCCCCACACTTTCCGCCTCTCTGATTCTGTTTCTCACCGACTCCTTTTACAGACTTGCTGATGACTAAAAGGACCAGACGGTCGTAGTGAATTCATTGTGTCTTATCGCTGGTACTGACAGACCTTTGCACATGTGAGGGTGAACGGATGAATTGAGTGTGTCATGTGTTCTTTTTATAGTGATTCATTATTTAGGTCATTGTTCAGAAAGAACAAGGGTGTTTGCTGAGTTTTCATTCACTCTAGGTCATTTGAATACTGCAGTATTTAAGAATTCAGTTACGTTTTCAAATTGCCAGCGTTTCGCGTTGCAAAAGGCCGTCAGGATTTGTAACAGAGTTAATGTCATTACTGGATTCAAAGTTGTCTCTGACTTTACTGAACGCTGACCTCATTGTCACCACCTCACCTCCATATTAGCGTTAGAAATACTGATTTAATAAATGTTCACTAGATGTCTTCTGAGGTTTAAATCTTGTTTTCAAGAGGCAAACTTCTCTTAGGGCTCTTTACAAGCTCTTAGAAATAGTAACATTTTTTCCCCCTTCTATATTTTCTCTATATTGAAGGTATTATTTTTGAGGGGGGAGAGGGAGGCTAATTTTGATGGTCAGTACTTGGATAGGACCATTTTTCCAACTCATTCGTGCCTAATTTGAGGATGATCTAAATATTATTTCATGACTGTTAGAAGGTTCAGCAGGATTTATTCTTATCGTGCAAGTATTGATTACCATTCATTTTGGTGACAACCTTTGCAGCAGTAAATTGGTTGGAAGCAGTTAGTGGAAACTAGACATTGTTTTATGTAGTGAACTCAGTTTTGTTTGTTGTCTCCAGTTTCATTGCTTTCTCTTGAGCACAAATTTTCCAGAATGATAAAAAAATAATTGTTAACTTGGGCAACATTTTCTACCTTGTCATTTGACTTAATCATTTTGTCAGTTTTATCTGTTATTTAAAAGGTTTTTTGTTTCCAGATTTTTTTTTTTTTTTTTTTAGATTGTATTTTTATTTATTTGACAGAGAGTGAGACAGTGAGAGAGGGAACACAAGCAAGGGGAGTGTGAGAGGGAGAAGCAGGCTCCCTGTGGGGGCTGGATCCCAGGACCCTGGGGTCATGACCTGAGCCGAAGGCAGATGCTTAATGACGGAGCCACCCAGGCGCCCCTGTTTCCAGATATTTTTAAGTGTGTGCCTTTATGGTACAGATTTTAGTTCTCAGGGGTGCTCTTTTAGATTTAATTAATTAATTAAGAAATTCTAATAATTTTAAAAATATGTATTGTCCTTTGTCAAGAGTTGGTACTTAAATTAGCAAGAGTTAACACTTAAATACTTCATAGTTGGTGGAATGTTTTGCAAATGGTGGGAGTAATTCTGTGGCAATCCTCCGAGTTTAGTAGTATAAAGGTAACGACAAGATGATAAACCTTAAGTGTTGTTACTATGGAAAATGCAGTAATATCGAACGGTTGGCATGAGGTGTTGACTATTTTTGATTACAAGGCTGGATGGCTAATCTTTGACTAATCATTATAGTCATCAAATATATTATGAACCCACAGGTTACATGACCTCTCATGTGGGCCTTCAATGGTAAGGTAAAATTGAGTTGGGTTTGGTTCCATATAATATTTTGAAATGTTCATCAGTGACTTTGTTACTGATAGACAAGTGAGCTCGTTAGCCTACCTTAAAAAATTTACATCAATTTTGAGACTTAAAAAAAAAATACATAGAAACAGATTTCTAATTACTGAACTTTTCAGATTTAACGAAAATTAATGTAAAATTATGCTTAATTTTGTAAAAGATGCCTTTAAATTTAACAAGCATTGGAATCCAAGGTATATGAGGATGCCGTTTCTATTAGCAGCTGCATTTATTGTTGTTGTTCCTTGGTGTGATTATAAACTTCTAAAAGAAAAAAGAAAAAAAATGTTTGCTAATTAAAGATTCCTTTCTCCTGAAGGAAGAATGCCTAGATTAATGCGGAAGCAACAGTAATGAAGTCTTCTCGGGTCTCTTCTGGTTTCTTTTGGTGTCTAAATACCCACAGCAGGGGGGCTCCTGGGTGGCTCAGTCAGTTGAGCGCCCAAACTGATCCCAGGGTCGTGAGATTGAGCTGTGCTGGGCTCTGAGCTCAGCACAGGAGTCTGCTTGGGATTCGGTCTCTCCCTTTCCCCCGCCCCTCCCCCTGCTCCTTTGCGTGCTCTCTCTCTCTCTCTCTAAAATAAATAAAAATTAAATTAAAAAAGATAAATAAGTACCCACAGCAATTATTTTAGATCTCACTTTGTTGTTATTAAAAATTGGTATTGAATTATTTCCATATTGTTGTGAAAAGTAATGAATCACTGTTTATTAAAGAAAAGGAAAAATAAATTAAGGAAAAATATTAAGGTGAGTCCTCAAGAAAATCCCTCCAGTAATGAGTCCTAGGTTTAAAGTGAAAAGTCACAAAAATTGTGATTTAGAAATTATGAAAAAAAAAGTTAGCATTCCATAACTTTTTTTCTTGTATGCATTAATTTACAGTGACTATATTGCCAAACTTACATAAAATTTAAAGATCATATATAGGCCATGAAATAGAGTCACATTTATCTTATGGAGAATAATTGGAAAAATTAAAAATTGTACCCCAGGTTTAATTATAATAATGATATCTTATGTTGGTTAGCCTATTTTATAAATTACAAAGCACTTTTACTTATGTACTTATGATATCTCACTTTACTCTATAGCACAAACCACCAGGGGAAGTAGGGAAGCGGATAAACTCATTCTTATGGATGAGGACACTGAGGCCAGAGGGTTTTCAGTCTTTTTTTTTTTTTAAGATTTTAAAAATTTACTTGAGAGAGAGCGTGGCAGAGGGAGAAGCATGCTCCCTGCTCAGCATGTGGGGCTCGATCCCAGGACCCTGGGATCATGACCTGAGCCGAAGGCAGATGCTTAACTGGCTGAGCCACCCAGGCACCTCGGGTTTTCAATCTTTATTTGTTTGGGTGGATTGGTGTGGGGAAGGGGGCAAGGTGGGATCAAAAGACAGGGTATGAAATTTAAATTCCATTTAATTTTCCTGTTCAAATTTTAATTTTTAAGAAGAAAGTAATTGGATGATTTTCTTATTTATTCTTCAAATATAAGTTATATGGTTCTCATTTTACATCTGTATTTATTTTTAAATAATGCTATAATGAGCAACACTGGATTAGAATTCTTGCCTTTTCCCTATTAAACACTAATGAATCCTGGGGCCCTTGGATGGCTCAGTCAGTTAAGGATCAGCCTCTTGATTTCAGGTCATGATCTCAGAGTGGAGAGATTGAGGCCCCAGTTGGGCTCCCAGCTCAGAGGGGAGTCTGCTTCTCACCTCCCTCTCCCTCTGCCCCTCCGTACACTCGCTCTCTCTCTCAAATAAATAAAAAAATCTTTAAAAAAAAAAAAAAACACTAATGAAGACTTATTTACAGTTCATGTTCCTGTGACCCCAAGGACAAGGTGAGGGTGAGTGTGCCCTTGTCACAGAAGGTCTTGCAGAACATTTGGTAGTTCTCCATCATAACTTCCTGTTTGCAGCACCTGGAGAGCTTTTAAAATAAAACTGCTTCCCTGGCAGCATCTTGGATTTAAAAATAGAGCTCCAACTTCATATTCCAACAGCTTGTGGATCATTTCTCCTTGACTAGCCCATCTTACCTCAACTAAAAATGAGCTCTTTTTCACCAAGTGGGGTCAGTTGCACCTTTGTTTCTATTAATGGTGCCATCATTTTCTCTGTTGCCCTGGAAATAATTTCATATTCCTCCCTCTCATTTTCTATTTTTCTTTGTCTCTCCTCCTGTACTCCACTAATATTAGTCAGTGATTAGTCACCAGACGGAAGGTCCTAGGAATTCTTGGTTGTTAATGTTTCTTGCATTCATCTCTGCTTTCCATTGCGACTTCAGCCTCCTTATTTCAGCACGGTCCTAAGAGTGGTCTGTGGCACTCAGATCCTCCTCATCACTTTGCCCATCATTTGGCTCTTAGATCTTAAGTGTTCCTAATAGTTTTATCTTTCTGAAACATCTTTTTGATCTGGTATTCTACTAAAATTTCTAAAGCAGTGCTCCCGTGGCTAGAGAGAAACTCCAGACTGCTTTACTCGGATGAAGACCATTTCAATCTGTCACAATCCGCATGTCCTTTTCAACGTTCATGCGCCATTTCTCCCCCTCACCGTTGTAACCATCTTCATAACCCTTTACAAGGAGATGCAAGCTCATTTTTGTGAATTTAGTGTGGATCTGGCTATATTGGTTCTTTATTCTTATCATAAATAATATACATATATAGACTACAGCCTTATTATTTAAAAAGCAAACTCTGTTGATTTCTCCTGATTAAGACCCAGGGTTTATAAGACCTTATAAAAGAAAACAGAAAATGTATAGAATTTACAGTTACTGTGCCTGTTTTACATCATATAAATGTTGACTCTGTAGCATTTTTTTTTTTTTAATGAAAAGTAAATCTGAGACTGGAATTACAGCTCTGAAAAAACATTCGTGCCATGCTATTTTATACTCATTTTTCATATATGTATGATAATTTTTCAAAAGTTGCTTTTGATGAAGGCTCATTCATTGGTCTGCCCAGAGTCAGCCAACTATATTAAACATGCTTTATCTTGGAGAAGTCAGTGCTGAAAGCAGCCAAATAACTTAGTTCATTTGGAGGGTTTAAAAAAAGGACTTGTCATTGTTTGGCTGGTTGCCTCTCCTTGGTACTGAAGGTCACATTCCCTGAAGCAACTGCCCTTAAAGTATACTTTGGATAGGAAGTGCATCTGAAGGGCATCTTCCTGGTTGGTTTCTCTGATCCTCTTGTCTCTCTCACTTCCTCTTCCTTCTCCCTTCTCATCTCCCCTTTTTTTCTTTTCCCCGCTTCTCTACCTCGCTTCCCTCTTCTTTCCGTCCTCTGCCCCCCAACGTTCTCCCTGACTTTCTCCCCACTTCCTCTACCTCTTTCTTCTATTCCTCCTCCTTCCTCCCCCAGCACACACTCTGCCCTTTATCTTTTAGAATTTATTGGCATAATGTTAA